AGTGTGAGTTGTGGAAAAGGGCAGTGTGGGTAGTGGGGAAGGTAGTGTGGGTAGTGGGGAAGCAGTGTTGGTAGTGGGGAAGGCAGTGTGGTGGTGGAGAAGGCAGTGTGGGTAGTGGGGAAGGCAGTGTGGTAGTGGGGAAGGCAGTGTTGGTAGTGGGGAAGGCAGTGTTGGTAGTGGGGAAGGCATGTGGTGTGGGGAAGGCCGTGTGGGTGGTGGAGGAGGCAGTGTGGGTAGTGGGGAAGGCAGTGTGGGTGGTGGAGAAGGCAGTGTGGGTAGTGGGGAAGGTAGTGTGGGTAGTGGGGAAAGCAGTGTAGGTAGTGGGTGTTACGCGCCCCTACTTCACTCCATTATATACAAAAATAAAAGGCCTGGTTAAAATAAGTTCTGTAATAATATATCGCAAACCACTTTATTACTAGGTAGATAAAGCAGGTTCGACTATATATTATTATCGGGTACAGTATGAATCATCAAAAGTACTCTCATTGTATTATATTGTATTATATTATATTATTATTAGGTTAGGTATTACGAATGTGTAACCACTACTGTAGTGACCAATTGGTGGTTCTAGAATTGATGCCACTTTCGCCTTCTGGCAGAGCTGAAGCCCATACTATGAAGTAGTTGAGTGAGGCATCAGCTCCTAGCTCTGACTCGGTAGGGTCTTCAACCCAAGCCCCTAGCTTAAACTAAAACTTTATACCAAGTCTATTTTCTTGCCTTTGCCATTAGTTTCCTGAAGTCTGGTAATTCATGTCACTTATGAAAGATAACTATTTCGTTACCCTAGACCTTTCTAAAAGATTTTAAATGGGGAGATTAGTAGATTATTAATTGAAATTATTGTATCATACTCTGCTAATGAAAATTTTGAACGTAAGATTGGGTTTCTTGCTGTATAGTATTTCTTTTAATTGCTTGTGGTTATTTTAATTCACTAACCAAATCCAATGAAACTTAATGATTGGTAATAAAATAAAACTAACAAAAAAAATGGAGTTATTTGTGCCCCTATTGTTATGGTGAAGATTAAGTCGTAACAAATGGGTTGTCTGTCCTGGAGCTACTTACCCTGAAGTACATATTTGTTTGCATTAAAAATTTAAAGCTCCCTTGCGAGAATTAAGAAAATGGATCCAGAAATTAAGTCATTATTAGATGAATTAACAGAGGCTACTCTTGACACTTTAAAATTACGGACGTGTTGGCAAATAGCTAGACAATTAGATATACCTTATAATAGATACCATAGCGCAGAGACTCTTAGGTCCCTAATTAAGGATAGATTGTTTCCGAAATCCCAAACAATGCTAGAACTAGATTTGGAAGAGTTTTATTTCCCAGTTCGAGGAAGTAGAAATCCCACAGACGGGAACTGCCTTAAATAATGAAGTTGAGCCAGGGTTTACAAGGCCTTACTACTCAGTCCAGTCTCAAAGCTCTCCCCCGTTCACTTCCCCGGAGTATGTATCGGTGGTTGGAACGAACCCTCAGTTAAATGACGGGGATAATTTTAGGACTGGTGCTCGTCCCAATGACGCTCGAATTCCCCTCGGTGTCATTACCTCTTGGGAATTTCACGTCCGAACAACTAGAGAGAATAGAACGCATATTACTATTACAAAACTCTCTAATTGAAGCTAGAAGACGTCTAAACGAGGAAGAATTTAGGCGTGAAAGGTTTCTTTTTGAAACAAAGCAGAAGGGAGTTCCGGAAGAAAGAGACGTGAAGAGCACGGTAACCGGGTTTGACTTGCATAAAGCAGCTCTGATGGTACCTAAGTTTAACAAAACAGACTTAGATGAATTCTTTGAAATTTTTGAGAATCAGGCATGTTCAATGGGCTGGCCCAAAAGACAAATGGGGCCACATTGCTGCCAACGTCTCTATATGGAAAGACGCAGTCTTGTGTCGCCTCCTTTCCATTGGTTTTATGTCCGTACGACGTAGTAAGAGAACTATTTTAGAAGCATATGACATGCTCCCTATTAGTTTCCAAATAGCTTTTCGTTCCATGAAACGGCAAACAGGGACAAACTTATTTAGATTTTGCCCGAGGGAAACGTGGCATTTGAACGTTTTTGGTGTCGAGCTTCTCGGGTCACGACTTTAAAAGATCTATCCAAATTAATGTTTAGTAGAAGATTTGTATGCAAATTTTCCAGAGGGAGTTCGCAGTATCTTGTTGGCCATCCGCAAACGACGTTGTTAGAGACTGCCGCGTGGCAGACAACTTCGAGATTTCCCAGGGTTGGTTACAATCTGGGAAACAGCCGGTTATAAAGGAAAAAAAACCGGAAACATTTGGAAAGGCTCCAACCTTTTCCCCCGGTAAACAAATAAACCGAAGGAAAACCAAAGCAAAAGAAGGATATAAAACCCATAGGTTATGGGAAAAAAAAAAGGGAAAATTAGTCTTGAAGCCGGGAACATTTTTACCCTCTTTAAACTGATAGGGCAAGGCCAAAAGGTTCCTATAAGGCCACAAATATTTTCCCCAGGGTTAAAGGAAATCCGACCCAAGAGTTGACGCCTTCCCAAAAAAAACAGTTCCTGGGTTTTTGGAATAGGTTTATTCTCAAAAAGGGCTAGTAAGAGACTTTCCAAAAGCAAAATGAATTAGGGAAACGTTGTGGGAAAAAACCCTTAAGGGAACGGGTCCCACTTAAATTATAAAAGAAGACTGGATCTTCCCCAATATATCTGTGGGTTTTACCCCTGTTTAAAAAATTTGGCCATGAAGGGTCCTGTACAAATTAATGTTTACATTTTCAGGGGGCTTTTAAGGAATGTTTAACCTTCCCCAAAAAAGAAGGAAGGCTATTGAAGGGAAGACTTGGGAAATAGGAAAACCCTAGTATAAAATCCAACCGGGAAATTACGTACAAGCCGGAACCCTCTTCCTCTTTGGAAGTCCCGGCCCCAAGCCAAACGGCAGTTCCGTTTATCAGGGACAGGACAGGGCACCTAAGGTTAGGGGGGAAAATTAAAGGCTAATGTGAAACAAAAATAAAACGTTCCTTCCTAATCGGGTTTCCGAAATTAATATTCCAAGGGGATTTATTAAAATTCCTGGGCCCCCCCTTTTGTGGGTCAAGAAGGTTCCGTGGGGAGAACCCTAAAGGGGGGAAAGTCTTCATAAGAAGGGTTTTGAAAAAAACTAGGTTTTTTAAAATGGATAAGGGGTTTCCACTTTTGAAATTTGCCTTAAGGCCAAGACAACCTAAGGTTGCATTTGGGAAAAAGGGGGTTTAAAAAAGCCTAAGGTTCACAGGAAAATTTAGGAGAAATGGAACTTTTAAGAGCTTTCCTTTGAAAAGTGGCCAACCCAAAATCCCCAAACTGAAACCCATAAAGTAAAGGGAACCTTTCGTCGGAAAAACTGTTCATACCAAAGACTCCCGGCAGTTCCTTTCATTCAGGGGCACTTCGCCAATTTGAAGGTTTCCCTTTAGGAGGTTTAAAGCTCGCCTAATAGTGAGAGCACTGATTAAGTTCTTCTCTCACTTCGGATTTCCAAGAGAAGTTCAATCGGATCAAGGGTCGAATTTTACTTCAAAATTTTTCCGTGAAGCCTTGGCTCAGTTAGGGGTCAAGATGGTTTACGCGACGGCCTATCGACCCCAATCACAAGGCATGGTGGAAAGGTTCCATCAAACTTTGAAGATTATGATGAGGTCCTATTGTTTACAGTATTCCAAAGATTGGGATGAAGGTATTCCACTTCTCTTGTTTGCCCTAAGAGAAAGCGAACAAGACAACTTGAAGTTTTCGCCATTTGAGTTAATATATGGGCATCAAATTAGAGGACCAGTACAGGTTCTCAAAGAAGCTTGGACCGGGGAAGAAACGCCAACTTTTAGGAGTTCTCCTACCTTAATGAAAGAACGTCTGAGCCCAGCTAGAGAATTGGCCGCCGAAAACTTACGACAAGCACAGAGTAAGATGAAGGAGGAATACGATCGTCGAACTATACTTCGTTCATTTGAACCAAAAGATCAAGTTCTGGTTCAACGATTTCATCAGGGACATGCTCTACAGCCCAAATTTGAAGGTCCTTTAGAAATCGTGAAGCGCCTAAGTGACGTGAACTACTTGGTAAGGACGCCGAAGAAGAGGAACTCACAACGGACGTATCACGTTAACCAACTTAAAACCTATTCAGGAATCGTTTCACCAGTTTCTACTGTAGTGGAAGTTTTAGCAGTAAAGGTCAAGAACCAAAACCTAGTCATTGTGGTAGTCTACAAGCCTCCGGATGCAACATCCCAGCAATTCCAGGAACAGCTGTTAAAAATTGACCACTGTCTGGAAAATCTTCCAGCTCCTGCACCCAACATCTTGCTCCTGGGGGATTTCAACTTAAGGCACCTAAAATGGAGGAATATAGCAAATAATATTGTTGCAGTAATAACACCAGGAGGCAGCTCTGATGAAAACTCACACTCACACGAGCTTTTAAATCTCTGCACAAAATTCAATTTAAACCAGCAAATAATAGAGCCTACTAGACTGGAGAATACACTAGACCTCATCTTCACTAACAATGATGATCTGATAAGAAATGTCACCATATCAAAAACAATATACATGTACTCAGATCACAACATAATTGAGGTTCAGACATGTATGCGTGGAGCCCCAGACCGACATAATGAGACTAGTCACGAGGGAGCATTCACCAAATTCAGCTTCAATAACAAAAACATAAAGTGGGACCAAGTAAACCAATTCCTAACCGATATAAGCTGGGAAGATATACTAAGCAACACAGACCCCAACTTATGCCTAGAACAGATTAACTCGGTGGCACTCGATGTTTGCACAAGGCTTATTCCTCTAAGAAAAAGGAGGAGTAGATGTAAAATAGAAAGAGACAGGCCCTCCCTTTACAGGCGACGGAAAAGAATAACAGAGCGGCTAAAAGAGGTCAATATATCTGAAATGCGTAGGGAGACACTGGTCAGAGAAATAGCAAGCATCGAACTTAAGCTAAAAGAATCCTTTAGGAGTCAGGAATCGCAGGAAGAACTAAAAGCCATAAATGAAATCGAAAGAAACCCAAAGTATTTCTTCTCCTATGCCAAATCAAAATCGAGAACAACGTCCAGTATTGGGCCCCTACTTAAACAAGATGGGTCCTACACAGATGACAGCAAGGAAATGAGTGAGCTACTCAAGTCCCAGTATGACTTAGTTTTTAGCAAGCCGCTAACCAGACTGAGAGTCGAAGATCAAATTGAATTTTTTATGAGAGAGCCACAAAATTTGATTAACACAAGCCTATCCGATGTTATCCTGACGCCAAATGACTTCGAACAGGCGATAAATGACATGCCCATGCACTCTGCCCTAGGGCCAGACTCATGGAACTCTGTGTTCATCAAGAACTGCAAGAAGCCCCTATCACGAGCCTTTTCCATCCTATGGAGAGGGAGCATGGACACGGGGGTCGTCCCACAGTTACTAAAAACAACAGACATAGCCCCACTCCACAAAGGGGGCAGTAAAGCAACAGCAAAGAACTACAGACCAATAGCACTAACATCCCATATCATAAAAATCTTTGAAAGGGTCCTAAGAAGCAAGATCACTACCCATCTAGAAACTCATCAGTACACAACCCAGGGCAACATGGGTTTAGAACAGGTCGCTCCTGTCTGTCTCAACTATTGGATCACTATGACAAGGTCCTAAATGCACTAGAAGACAAAAAGAATGCAGATGTAATATATACAGACTTTGCAAAAGCCTTCGACAAGTGTGACCATGGCGTAATAGCACACAAAATGCGTACTAAAGGAATAACAGGAAAAGTCGGTCGATGGATCTATAATTTCCTCACTAACAGAACACAGAGAGTAGTCGTCAACAGAGTAAAGTCCGAGGCAGCTACGGTGAAAAGCTCTGTTCCACAAGGCACAGTACTCGCTCCCATCTTGTTCCTCATCCTCATATCCGACATAGACAAGGATGTCAGCCACAGCACCGTGTCTTCCTTTGCAGATGACACCCGAATCTGCATGACAGTGTCTTCCATTGCAGACACTGCAAGGCTCCAGGTGGACATCAACCAAATCTTTCAGTGGGCTGCAGAAAACAATATGAAGTTCAACGATGAGAAATTTCAATTACTCAGATATGGTAAACATTAGGAAATTAAATCTTCATCAGAGTACAAAACAAATTCTGGCCACAAAATAGAGCGAAACACCAACGTCAAAGACCTGGGAGTGATCATGTCGGAGGATCTCACCTTCAAGGACCATAACATTGTATCAATCGCATCTGCTAGAAAAATGACAGGATGGATAATGAGAACCTTCAAAACTAGGGAGGCCAAGCCCATGATGACACTCTTCAGGTCACTTGTTCTATCTAGGCTGGAATATTGCTGCACACTAACAGCACCTTTCAAGGCAGGTGAAATTGCCGACCTAGAAAATGTACAGAGAACTTTCACGGCGCGCATAACGGAGATAAAACACCTCAATTACTGGGAGTGCTTGAGGTTCCTAAACCTTTATTCCCTGGAACGCAGGAGGGAGAGATACATGATTATATACACCTGGAAAATCCTAGAGGGACTAGTACCGAACTTGCACACGAAAATCACTCACTACGAAAGCAAAAGACTTGGCAGACGATGCACCATCCCCCCAGTGAAAAGCAGGGGTGTCACTAGCACATTAAGAGACCATACAATAAGTGTCAGGGGCCCGAGACTGTTCAACTGCCTCCCAGCACACATAAGGGGGATTACCAACAGACCCCTGGCAGTCTTCAAGCTGGCACTGGACAAGCACCTAAAGTCAGTTCCTGATCAGCCGGGCTGTGGCTCGTACGTTGGTTTGCACGCAGCCAGCAGCAACGGCCTGGATGATCAGGCTCTGATCCACCAGGAGGCCTGGTCACAGACCAGGCCGCGGGGGCGTTGACCCCTGGAACTCTCTGGTTTTACTACTGGAAATGGCTTGAAACTGAGCTCAAAGTAGCAGAAATGTTAAATTTTTGCCGATATTCAAGAGTAAACAAACGACCTCACACGTCTAATACACGTCAGCTGGTGGGTCTAATATACATTCACAAATATGGTGATGATATTTATACAATTATTACAGTATTGCATAACAGTAAATCTTCTATTTTTTGGTGTGAATAAAAATTCATTATGTGAATAAAAAATCAAAATGGAATTTATTTGTAAAGCCTCAAAACATAACTAATGAACAGAGGAAATGTTAGTTTAGTGCCAGGAATGCCTACATTGTTCATTCTGGACCCTATTTTGAAATTGGAATATTTTGAACTTTGTGTTAAATTGGCCAAATTAACAATTTCCGATCACTTTATTTTGTAGTTGAAACAGTTGACTTGGCGATTTCTTGTGCTCAATCGATAGAATAGAAGTAATACTAGTGATATAGCTAAGAATTTGGTTGATTGGAATAATGTAATTGGCCTAAAATGGGAGTCAAAGTCGGCAAAATCGCCGATTCGTAAATATCGCTGACACATCAAAATTCGCGAGAGCATAATTTCGTCAATTTTCCACAAAATTTCGTACTTTTTGTTTTATTACCTTCACAAAAAGATTCTCTACGATTTCATAAGAAAAAATAACAATTTTTTTTTTTTTAAATTCTTGGACACTGGTGCGTGACTCCAGATTTGGGCCTTGGACCCTGAAAGGGTTAAGAAGAAGCGTGCGATCGTTCGCCGTGTCATCCGTGACGCTAAACGCACTTGCTGGCGAGATTGTCTCCCCACCATCACCTCTGCTTCCTGTATGAGTGCAGTCTGGAAAAAAGTATGAAAACTGAGTGGTAAATATTCTTCTGACCCAGCTCCTGTTCTGCGGGTTGCCGGTGTTGATATAGCAAACCCACTAGATGTTCCCAATGAAATTGGCAATCATCTGGTCCGTATTTCTCAGGGACTCCATCTATGCCCCTCGTTTCTTTCCTCAAAGTCTGCCAGAGAGTTAGCACCCTTGGACTTTTCTTCTCTCAGAGACAAACAGTATAATGTGCCTTTTACACTTCAAGAACTGGAGGCAACACTCTCAGCTTGCCGATCATCGGCAGCTGGGCCCAATGACGTTCAAATTCGTATGCTACAACATTTACATCAGTCAGCCCTTGCAGTCCTATTACGCCTTTACAATCTTATTTGGTCACAAGGAGTTCTTCCACAGCTGTGGAAATCTGCCATTGTTCTCCCTTTCCGCAAACCAGGCACTACGGGACATGAAGACTCCAACTATCGTCCCATTGCTCTTACCAGTGCAGTTTGCAAAGTGATGGAACGCCTGGTAAATAGACATTTAGTGTGGTATATAGAGACACGCAACAGTCTCTCCACTCATCAATATGGCTTTTGTAAGGGACGTTCTACCATAGACCCCTTACTACGCTTGGATACGTATGTTCATAATGCCTTTGCAAATAACCACTCAGCTATTGCCATATTTTTTGACCTTGAGAAGGCATATGACACAACTTGGAGGTATAATATTTTAGCCCAAGCCCACTCCTTAGGCCTTCGAGGCAATCTACCATCCTTCCTTAAGAACTTTTTAACTGACAGGCATTTCCGTGTACGGGTTAATAATATGCTCTCCCCGGACTTTATCCAAGCTGAAGGTGTTCCCCGGGGATGTGTTCTGAGCACAACACTTTTTCTCCTTGCTATTAATGATTTGGCCTCTAGTCTTCCATCACATATTTGGTCATCACTCTATGTTGATGACTTTGCTATTGCCTGTGCAGGCGCTGACTGTCACCTCATTACAGTTTCTCTCCAGCATGCGGACGACCATGTTTCCAATTGGGCCACTGCACATGGGTTTAAATTTTCCAGCACTAAAACCCACCAAATTACTTTCACGTCATCTCCAATCATCCTTTGTACCTCTATGGCTCCCGTATCCCTGAACGTGATACAGTCAAGTTTCTGGGCCTCCTCTTTGACCGTAGGTTATCCTGGAAACCTCACATTACCTCTCTGAAGGCAACTTGTCACAGCCGGCTTAACCTTCTTAAAACCCTTGCTCATCTTTCATGGGGAGCTGATCGTCGAACCCTCCTTTGCCTACATTCCACCCTCATTTTATCAAAACTTGATTATGGTGACCAGATCTATTCAGCGGCATCTCCTGCTACTCTCTCTAGCCTTAACCCCATTCATCACCGAGGATTACGTTT